GGACTTTCAATTCTTCCTGCTCGTTTCCCAGGCTCTGTGTGTATGTGCACAGACACCTGAGGTAACCAGCTGCTTGCCCTACTTTCTCAGGAAGAATGAGGTGGCCTCCACTGTTGCCCCCTCTTCCTTGTGCTTCATTCAGGGCTCCCCCTTCCCAAATTACCTCAGGGCTTTGGTCTTCATCCCCTGGCAAACCTAGTTTAAAGCCCTCGTCACTAGGTTAACGAGCCTGTTTGTAAAGATGCTCTTCCCTATCTTCACTGGGTGGATCCTGTCTCTTCCTACGAATCATTCTTCTTGGAACTACATCCCATGGTTGAAGAAGCTGAATCCATGCTGTTTTATTTCTGCCCAGTATATCACATAGTTAAAATTCCATGGAATTACTTGCTATCCAGCTTTTGGAAAGAATACTTTCACAAAGGAAGCAGTTGAGTTTCTTGGGTGTAATGCCACCTATCTTCTATAAAGCTAATATAAAGCTAATATCATCTTTAACTGAGGTTAAGTAATGACTTTCCACATTAGAAGTCGGTTCTTAATTCTTCAGTATTATTGTACTCAGGTAATTCAGGTTATTTACTATATTGTTTTTTTTCTTTTTTATTCCTAGCTGGTTCTTTATATTAGCCAATGATATATTTATGGGTTGTGTCTATCACAGGGACTTTTAAACAAATAAACTTTACTTTTTCAGAGCAAAAATATATAATCTTACTTAGCGGGTAACAATTCCCTTCATTCTAATTGTATTATGCTTTTCATCCTACATCTATAAAATGGAATGGTTCTATACTGAAAAAAATAATTTGATGGAATCAAATCAATGGTCTATGCACCACTGACCTACCAGCTCAATTATTGCAAATTACTGTATTTAGGAATAAACCAGGATGCCCCAAAAAACTCTACTGATACAAAGGGTGTAAAAAAAAAAAAAGACTATCTTGCTTCATAGCACGTACGTGCTATGAAGAAGTCACTGTGGACATATCAGGGTCCACAATGGCCCATCCCTGAAGTTCAAGGTCTCCATGGGGCAGGTACTATGTACTTGAGAGATGATCTGTCCCTATGTGACCCTGACATCCCAGAGCAGTCACTTCTCACTAGGTTAATGTATGGAAGACAGACTTTTTCACAGAAAGTGGACTGTGCTGTTAACTCATTCCCAAAAATCTTAAAATGACTCACCCTGACTCCTTCCAAGAAAACAAACTCATCACTTGAGTCCCAGTACATCAATCAAGCAATTTCTTGCACAGGTTATGGATTGCACATAAGTGCGGAGAGACATAAAATAAAATGTAAGTGGTTTAAAAAAGTTTACCCATTATTTCCAGAAACATTCCCCATTTGGAAGAGAATTTTTCAAACCAATGCAAGTTTTTAATGTATTCACTATTGAGAAGTAATAGCAATACAATCAGAAAAACTATATCATACACACGGCATATATATTTATATTGCAAACTTCAATGATGATGTATACATGATGACTAAATATGTAGCCTGCAGTAAGGCTCTGCCAACTGAAATGATATTCAGAGTATTTGAGTAGGCAACTACCACCTTATGGTCTTGTCATCACTTGAAACTCCCATTGCAAACAATCACAACAGAATTAGGGCTCATCTTTAAACAACACAGCCAAGATTTTCAAAAGTGACTACTGCTTCAGTTCACACATTCTCTCCTGGAGATACCTTATGAAAATAACCCATTTTCAAAAAGCATTATGCTCTCAACCCTTTCAAAATTTATCACTTCAACATGGTTCAAGCTGGACACCCAGAATTTTTAATGCAACTTAAGGAAATCTTAACCAAACATCTTGCATCAGTCATGTGCAATACTGTATTTCTATTATTGTTTATTATGCATTAAATAGCTTTGTTTTGCTTATTATGCATTTGCTTTGCTCCCCACCATAGTTTCAGATGAATATGTAACGGTATAGACATTTTAAAATCCTTAAAATGTAATTTTTGAGGTAACTTTTCATTATAATTAACACTAAGTTATAATACGTTGTCATCCTTTATAACAATGCACCACCTATGGAAGTTAAGCACAAAGCTAAAAAAATATTCCTCAAACTTCATACAACTTAAATAGAAAAAAAAAAATCTTTATTTTACTCTTAATCACATTTATTACTAGTTAAACAGATCATAAGGCAGGGGAAATTCTGAAAAGAAGCCAAGAAATGTATAATATAGATAGGGAAGACAGTGTGCCAAAGGACAGGCAGCCAACTTAACAAATGATGCATTTAGGAGTTTCCTAGGGCTGGGTGGAGCCTAATTTACTAACAGTAGCACAAAACACATTTTGATAAGATAACCGTTGGGATTTCTCTGGCAACCTTGGAGAAATTTTCTCATGGTAAGCACAATTAAAGCATTTGAAAGACTGTTCCCAAAAGTTTGAGTTATTCCAAAACTAATTTCAGAGTTTTGCTATTTGCCACTATTCATCTTTACTGGAAACTGCCTTCTAGACCAGGGGAAGGCAATCCCTGGCACAGATGCCAGAGCATGGCATGGAAAGGCGTTTTGCTTGGCATGTGCACCTTGGGGTGGACAGTGGGGAAGGGGCTGGAGCTGCACTGCCACAAGGATCAGGCCCCTTGCGGCGGCTCTGCTGTCCACCCTGGCATGCCAACATCTTACAAGTCAAGGTTGTGGGTGTTTTTAGCACTCTGCCAAAAAACGTTGCCAAGCCCAGTTCTAGATCTTCAATGAATACTTCATACAGTGATCAAACTCACCTAGAGACATATCAGATGGGCCCAAGTACTGAAATCTCTCTATATTTGCAGTACTTGGCCCCACACACACCTGCCATACTGAGGATTAGGGTTCACAACACCACAGTTTTCCATGTTCAGGTGCCAGGGTCTTCCACCCGTGTCCTTTTCCCAGATGCCCAATATACCTAAATTTCTTTGTGGGTAAATATATCATTTTCTTTTAAAAATCAATTTGTAAATAAGACAATACCCTCACTTCATACTATTTATACATTGATTTTGTTTCACTCTAACTTTTGATTTAACAAATCATATTTCAATTAAAAGATTTTTTGCTAACAAGAGATTACACGTTGAACCATTAAAGCATCATTTTTTTTCTTTTGGTTTCTATCGTCTTTTTTCATTCTCCTATTATCTGACAAATTAGGCTTCTGCCTATGAAAGCTCACACCTCTCTGAACCAGTTGGTCTCTAAAGTGTCAACTTGCCCTATCTTCTGTCTGTTTTTCATGTATTGTTTAACTGATGTCTGACTAGTATTGTATTTACTTGCACATCAAACACGTCTCTTTCCCCAAAATTAAGCCTCCAAAATTAGGATGTCTTAAACAGGTAAGCTGATTTTTCTACCCTGGAACTGAAGCAGGAAAGCTTTGCTACAAGAGGCCTGCCTTGTTTTTCCCTCTGCCCATG